TACCCTTGCTAACACACCAGCATATCAGTTTATCAATTTGGCTAATAACATCTCTGTGTTATAGTTATTAACTTCCCACAAAATTACAGGTACACAAGCAACAGAAAACAGATCAAACATCTTCAGCTCTAATGGGTCATGTTATAAAATGGAACTTGTGCTTTAACACAACAGAACAGTTGGATAGAATAAACACTCTTTGCTATGTACACCTCAGCCATTGATAGTTGCCACTTGATAAGAAAACTAGACCACTATTAGGGCACTATGTTAACTGCTTAATTTAAATTAGGTCAAATAAAGTAATTCAGAAATGACGATGCTTCCTACCATTAAATGTGCCCTTGGTGCTTCAAATAGTCAAAATATGAAACTCAAGAGTCAAAGAATCAAACATGACAATAATCTTTATGAAATAAAAGTGACAACAAATGTCCTGAGAGACCAACCAATATATTTTTTGTTTTGAAATATTGGAATCTTGGATATATTGAGTTTACAATTGTCCCACAAATATTTATGTTGTAGTATTTTGTAAAGTAAATTTAAGCAAACACTCATGGATTTTTAAAATAGTTTATTAATTTTTTAGATATATTATTTTAATCTAGAGGAAAGAAAAAAAATGTAAACACTTAAATCTCATTTATGAATCAATAATAATCTGCAACAAAATAACTGAGTCTCAATAAATCAAAATCAACAATTTTTAGACGTATTCTGTAAAAAAAAAAAAAAAAAAAATGAACACCATAAAATTAATGTTAACAAATCAACAGTATTTATAAGGTAATATTGGAGAGAAACAGCAATTACGCTATAAAAAAGAAAAAAAATGTAAACACTTAAATCACATTTATGAATCAATAATAATCTGCAACAAAATAACTGAGTCTCAATAAATCAAAATCAACAATTTTTAGACGTATTCTGTAAAAAAAAAAAAAAAAAAATGAACACCATAAAATTAATGTTAACAAATCAACAGTATTTATAAGGTAATATTGGAGAGAAACAGCAATTACGCTATAAACAAAATAAAACATTAAGTATAATGTATTTCAAAGCTTCAATTGAAACACAACAAAATGTGTTCAATCTTTGACATTATAAGAATTTTATATTTTTACTGAGCAATTTATCAAGCTACTTTGCAATATTATCAGTAACTAATCATGTGACTTCGCCCAGGAAAAAATTACATCAGATTATTTTGGGAAAGGGATGTAATTCATTTTATCCCAGGGAAAGACATAAATTTAAATCATCATAAATTAATTTTAGAATGTTAATGTCAAAATTTATTTCAACATAGGAATCTGATTTTATAAAGTTACTGTGGCATCAGTAAATGAAAGTGTGAAGCTGCTAAGTTCAATTTCTAAGATATGTGACTCAACCTCATGTTCTATTTCAGTTATTTTAATGATTATCATTAACTCTAATAATATTACAATTCAGTCTGTTCTCTCTACATATGTGGGTATGCATTGGGTGTGATTGAGTATAAGTGATTTACTTTTGCAGATATAACATTACGAAAATAGCACTTTTGATGGTGACAATAAAAATGTCAAAATACTAAAATTTGAAAAATAATATTTTTTTTTGTATGACTAATTCAGTTATATGAACAAGTTTTGTATCCACGTTCTACGAATCATGAGTTCTTCACAAAACAGTATAAAACAAAGCTATAGGACTGTTGTGAAAACTCATTAAAGTAATTCATTTACTAATGTATTTAGATGGTGTGAAGTACACACTTTAAAGTTAGCCTTCAATTTAAGTCATTTATATACAAGTCATTTACAAAACTTGAAGAAATAGATCAACTACCAAAATTATGTATGAGAAGGAGCTAATGTGACCATGTAATGCTGGAAACTAAAAACAAAAATAGTGATTTTGTATTATAAATTGAATCAATTAAAATACGATAAGATTCTTAAAAGCAGTCATAATAATTTTGTATTATTTTACATATATAATAATATATTTATCCAGCCTATCCGCTGCCTGCAAAGAGTTTGGCCTGACAATTAGCCTAAAGAAAACTAACATTATGGCACAGGGCGCTGACTCCCTCCCCACTATCGCCATCGACGACTACGACTTGGATACTGTTGACAGATTCACATATCTGGGATCCAACATATCGACCACCCTCTCAATGGAGGATGAGATAAGTGAGAGGATAGGGAAGGCCGCAACTGTTATGGCCAGACTGAAGAAAAGAGTCTGGTCAAACGCCAAACTCACAAGAACTAAGCTGCAGGTGTACCAGGCCTGCGTACTGAGCACACTTCTGTATGGATGCGAGTCGTGGACCACATACTCTAAACACGAAAGAAGGCTCAATGGCTTCCAGCTCAGATGCCTGCACCACATCATTGACAGTAAATGGCAAGACAAAGTCCCCTACACGGATGTCCTGTCCCAAACAAACGTGTAGCATCCCAGCCATGTTAATCCAAAGACGTCTCCGCTGGCTTGGAACATCAAGCAAATGCAATCTGGTCGCATACCAAAGGACGTGCTATACAGCGAGCTGGTGACAGGGAAAATGTCAGTTGGACGGCCTCGTCTGAGATACTTAGACATATGCAAAAGAGGCATGAAGTCAACCAACATCAACATCTCAAACTGGGAGGAGCTGGCAGAGGATCGATCCTCATGCCGGGGCATCGTGAAGGCAGGATCACTACATGCCGAGGATCAAAACAGGGCGGAAACAGCTGCAAAAAGAGCGAGGAGGAAGGCCGGTAAATACTGCTCCACCGCATTCGTGTGTGGGAAATGTAACAGAGACTGCCATTCCAGGATTGGTCTCACCAGCCACACCAAGAGCTGCAAGCATAAAGATAATCTATCGTCTCCCGCAGACGGAAAGATGCCATACATACATACATAATAATATATCTGCTTTTATGCAAGCATATGTAGTCTTTAATAATATGTAAGTATTATTTTTATTATTATACATTACAAATTATTTTAATATATATAGCAGATGAATATTGCTCAAAACTAAATGATGTTAGAAACGTAAATATCAATATAAAGATACTATTTTAAAAAATAGGTAAAATCTGATTAATTATTTCCTACTTATACATTTATAGGGTGTGGAACATTGTCGTACTTTGTTTGGGGTTTTTTGTCGATACAAAACAACAAAACTCGATTCTGTTATACATAAAAATTTGATTGTTACATGTTGACACTTTGCAACTGCAGATAGAAAGTATGTCAAAATGCCGGCCATTATTATCCCGGTCACATTGTTTCACATCTTCTCTTTCTTAAAAAAGAAAGTGAAAATCTAATTGACATAATTGAACACGAAAACAGGTGAGAAACATGGCAATGATAGAAACAATGACAATAAATTTTGTGCAGCTAAAATGACCTCTTCTTAGTAATGATGCCGATTTCTCATGTAACGGAAATAGGAAACATGTTAATCAGATAATTGCAGACATAATAAATAAATCTGGTGAATAATTTTTAAAAATAAGAATTTGATTTGCTCAAGAGCAAATAATTAATCAAATAAAATTTATCAAATATTATTGCAGGTAAACAAAAATGTACCCGTAGATCAGTCAGGCTTCAGAATAAGTCATTTTAAGAAAATCCTTTACATATGAGAAAGAGTCGTTTAATTTTTACCCCGGTGCTTTATATTTGGTGAGCCTATCCCTTGAGATTGAAACAAAAGAGTACAAAAATGTAGAATCAAAAATAACTTTGCAAACAAAATAATCTGGCAAGACAAATAAAGATTATATGGCTTAAAGCTTTAATAACAATTTTCTAATTTAAAACTTTGAATTTTGAAAATTTAGCGTGTGAGAAGTATGAGTAAACAAATACTTAGACAAAATCTCGACAGCATTATTCAATAAAGATAAATGAATTACGTTACTGAAAAGATCAATGTTCACTCACAATGGGATAAAAAATATCTGTGTATATATTTTCATGTGATTATTAAAATTTAAAATGAAAGAACAAAGCCTTTACAAGCATCATAACATCTTATTACAAGAAATTGCATTAAAGGCGAGTGGTTTTATTTAATAATACTTGACAATATTATATGAGTTTTTTTCAGCGTAATTCCTATAAGGCTCTGTAGTTTATGCATAATTAAACATTGAGGAATATGATCAAAATGTGCTACGCTTGATTTATTCACAAAAATAATAAAAATTATACAAAATGCTGAGCACAAAAAGTGACATTTTATTTTTGCATGGAAGGATTACAATTTTTTCAATGTTGCATTTTAATTTTTAAAAATTATAAATAGAACTCTTCAGACAATATTTAATTTTGTATAGATAAAGATAGCATTTTAGGATAAATAATTCTTAAGAATTATTTGTTGTTTTCTTAAAATTGCTATACAAATTACAAAAATTTGGTATGAAAAAATCATATTATTGCTAATACAGTTGCTTTTAAAAAATGACAAGAAATGGAATGTTTAAGGATGACTTTCTTAAAGACTGTGGATGCCATTGAGAGATTTTTAATAAGCGGCATAAATTTTATCGAAAGGAAATGAATATAGAGGAACTAGATTCTTAACACATTAAAACTTCAAGGACAATTGTCATTTCTTTCTTTGAAATAACAATATATATCTTATAATTAAATGAAAAAGTGACGAGTTAGCAACATATTACTGAACACAAATATAATAAATGTGTGAAGGCAATATAAACAGAAAGTTTTCATTTCCATACTTTATAACGAATTGAAATAAATGCGAAAATAAATATATTGTATCACAATCAGAAGACATAAATATTCAATACATTTATTGAAATCAAGTTTTTTTACAAACAATGAACGAGCTGCTGTTTTTTTTTTTTTACCAGATAATAATTTTTAAAAATACCTTTTTGTGTTAAGTGGCATGTATACAGTTAAATGTATCTTACTTAACAGAATTAATTCGCTGAAGCAGAGTTTTCTTTTGATCAAATCTTTAAATTCCTTATAAATTTTTATTGACATTCTTTCTACATTATTTTGATTGTCTCTGTGAAACAAGAAATATATTAATTATAAAAACATTCTTATCAGTGATAGATAATTTTTGAAAAGCCACTTTTGATATTCAAAAAGAACAGTTTTTAACAATAGTTTTCAAAAATTTACATTTTTCATTTTTATATAAATAGCAGCATCACAATTTACATCAAACCTGAACATGCATTAATCCTGCCCTGATTGATTTAACATAAGCCAGCCGTTGGCCTCGTAGTGTGAAGCATGACCAGGCAAAAAGTTGTAATAGAGCACAGATGACGGGTATGCAAATAAGCATCATAAAAACACCTTGTTTGTATGCTGTACGATCTGTCAGTTCCATCTTTGAGAGGTCCAGTTTCAGAGATCCAGAGTCATTGCCAGATTGGAATATATCATGGCCTAAGGAGCACAAACATAATGGCAACCCTTAATAGCAATTATAATTTATATTAAAAGTGAGAACTTTTTTATGTGCACAACAAATTAGGTTTAATTTATTCACCTCAGTCCAAATGAAATTAAAAACTTTTGCTACTGAGAATACAATGCAGACATGAGAATGAGAACTATGTTTAGAAATAGTCATTGGCGGCATTTACCTGTTTGCATGGCTAGTATCCAGGTTCCTATAATGGGGGCTAACGTTTGGCCAGGCTTTGAAATGAGAGCAGCTGTGCCAAATACTAGAGCAGACACAGCCTGTGGTCGAGAATGTAATACAACATCTTCATCTACCAGGTCACTGATCACCAAGCTCAGCAGCTTACAAGTACCTTCTGTGAATACTCGATTGCTATTAAAAATTTATTTTGTTTTTAAAAAACTTGCATTACATAGTTCATACTTACATTCTTAAAATTAAACAACTCATATAGAGACCTACTATCATTAATTCTATTTAAATATGAGATATTACTTAGTATAAAATATTTTTACACTAGACAGCTTTTAATTTATTTGCTGTACAATAATACCAGCAAGTTGTTTACTAATAATGACAAAAACTGTAGAAGCACTAGAAGCAACATCATAATTAAAGACAAAACACAGTGCTGCATTAAACAAACTTTTGGCTTTCAAAAAAGTATGACACCCATGAGCCTACCTAGCAATAAAAAAGCACAGCAGCCAAACATGTTGAGGTCCAGCCTCATACATCAGAAGACTGAGTATAAGCTTGACAAGAAATAATGACCTTATCACAGTGTAGACACCATATTTTTGGCACAGACTTAAGAAGTACAGGTTATTAATATGGGGTGCAATAAATGATATACCTGAAAATAAAAAAAATAATTACTAGAAAGCTATATTACAAAAATCTATTTTGAGCAAGTGTAAAGTCTAGCAGTTGCTTAAAATAAATAGAACAGCTTATGTTAAGTCTTTTAAGGAAATAAAAAATTCATACTTTAGATAATTATATAATCATACATATTTGTTATTAAGTCCATTTTATTCATAAGCTTCCCCTATTTTTGCCAGGGAAAAGCCTGAAAAGTTTATAAACACCCCCCCCCCCAAACCATACACACACACAAGTCAACTCCATAAAATAATTTGCTAGTGTGAGAAATATGGTACAAAAATAAAATCCTTCTTTTTTTTAAATACTTTTTTTGTGTTGGCAAAAAATATGTTTAGTAGTGAGTAGATAATTGTTGTTTGACTATGGCAATGTATAAGACAGATACTCGCTTCCCATGGCTAACCATAGGCCCATAGACCATACAGAACATTTCCAAAAATTGATGACTTTCAAAAGAAATCTGTGGTTGCCTTGTCTTTCAATGCTCAATTTCTGCTATAAATATCAATTAACAATTTTGGGTAATTGCAGTCTGGTAACTGATATTAAATATAGGTCAGCTGCTTGTACAAAACATTATTAAAATGAGAGTTAACTTGACCATTCTAAAATTAGACTTCCACTTCTGATTTGATTTTGCAATATCTGACCTTGTGTGGAACAGTTGTGAAAGCACGTAAGAACAAAAACTTGTGACACAATATTACGGTGACTTCAATTCATTAATTTTTTGGTCATTGTTTCATATAAATGAATCAATGTAGCTAGAGAAAATTATTTTAAAATCTCAAATAACCCATTCATTCACATAAAAGACTTCCAAAAAAAAAGTCTTCATCATCAGTGGTGCTTCAGCCCATGTAGGGCACTGGCCTGCTCCACCACATCCTTCCATTCAGACATCATCATCAGTGGTGCTTCAGCCCATGTAGGGTACTGGCCTGCTCCACCACATCCTTTCATTCGGATTGATCCAAGGCTTTCCGTCTCCACGCGTGAACCTCCAACTGGTGTAAATCCTTCTCTACATCGTCGATCCATCTCGGCCTAGGGCGACCGGTGAGCTGTCTGCCCCTAGGCTTCTGTCTGTATATCACTTTTGCTGCTCTACAATCCGGCATCCTTTCAATATGTCCTGCCACGCGCAGTGTGCCTTTTTTTTTGTTGTGACTAAGGGTGGGTCTTTGTACAATTGGTAAAGCTTTTGGATTGTACGAATTTTCCAGAAATCATTGCCTTTCACTGATCCCTGGGCCATGTATTTTCCTCTCCCATGTATTGAGCAGGTTCTCTGTTTTTCTGGTAAGGGACTAAGTATGATTGGCCTAAGTTACTACTGGTCACATGATGGTGAAAAAAAATATATTTTTAATAATTTAAAAAGTCACCATTTGAAAAAGTATATAACGTTTACCAGTTAATTAACTTTGTAAGATGGTTTGCATTTAGAAAATGTTTACTTAGCAAAAAGGATGCCAATGTTGGACTAACTGCTTCTCCCAGGAGAGTATCCAGAAAAAGTGGGAAGAAATTTGAGTTGAAATGGCAATGAAAAACCTAAAACAGAAAAAATCAAAAAATCATTTGTGCGAAATATATTATGAAAAAAAATATTGTGTGTAAGCCATTCGAAACAATAAGGAATCACAATAGTTCAATAACTTATAGAATGAATTGACTTTTAGTTAATTTGATTTGAATTAAAAACAGTTTGTTCAAAATTTGTAGGTTTCAACTTGAAGTTAATGTGAAGTTTATTATGGTATCTGAAGCAAAAGTTTTATTACCTGTACTAAATTTAAAAATGAGAACCATAAGAAATTTTTATGAGATAAAAGTTGTCTTCCAAATTTTACGACAGAGGCTTTATTTTCTGGAGATGTATTTGTTTCAGAAAGACGATATCTGTGAATGAAAATTTTCTTTTATTTAAAGTGAGTTTCATAATAAAAAATTTGATGTGATATCTGAAATTATAATTTTTAAATTTAAATATTTGTTAAAGAAATAAACATCAAAGAGACAAAATGTAGACTTTTAAAAAATATTTGTAAATTTCTTATTTATAATTTAAAATAAATCAATGTTCATATTTGGGACTAGCACTACTTACTTTTCCAATCCAATATTTGAATCTTTAGTGTGTTTCATATAAGCTTTCTTCAGGACACCCACCATGATTAAGTAACCAGTAAAAGACAAAACTGCTAAGCCAAAACAAAATATTTGAAAGGCTGTCAAGTCAGTTTTATTCCATACCAAATAAGATAAAAATACAGAAATGGACCCTATAGCACTGAAAATAGAGCATCTGGAGTTTAATGTGGTCCTCACTTCTGCAGACAGTGACAAATCAGCTAAGAGTGCAGAGTGATGGAGATCAATCATGGTCAGAAACCCATCATACAAACATAAACATATGGCAAACTGAAGGCCTGGCCAAGCCCAGTGTATCCAAAATAATAAGAATGCACTTGCAAATAAAGGACCATAAAGGTGGAGAGCATTCAACCTAATCCATACTATATTTTCATTTCCCCCTCTTGCTTTATCCAGGTTTAAAAACTTTTTATCACTAAACCAGCCAAATAGAGGATCATTCAAAGAGTTCCAAACTAAGAAGATTGTCTCCCCAAGCCAAAATGAAGATTTGTCTATCTTGTATACAGAAACAAACATGTCCACATGGTACAGGAGAAATACATTGTGAAGTATTGAAGTGAAGAGTGTCAGTGAACCATATGCTGTCTCCATGTTTAAAGAAAGCACTGACATTTTAACTGGTCACTGTTGAAGAAAAAATAAAAAGGTTTAGCTTCTTCCAACATTTTGTCTAAACAAATCTATAGCCTGGACCCATCATATTTATAATTATATCTAAGCCAAATTATGAAAAGTCAACAAAGGCCGAAAATTCTAATTCTTACCTCCATAGTCCATAGTCATAGTGAACATAGCCTTGGCCTTAATACAAAAATTTAATAATAATAATAGGACAATTTCTGCAATCAACTCCATGAAGTTTGTCTGTGTATGATTTTCTCCCCTTTGTTTACCTTAGTGTTGTTACTAGAGTTAACATTTCCTTAAAACGGCAATGGAATGTTTTTCATTAAAATTTCATAGCTTAGTTAATTATAATATATAAATTTTACGGCATTTTGGAAAATGGGTTTAATTATTGTATTGTGATGATTATTCTGACAACTTTTGGATTATCTTTTTGGTGGAACCTGAAATAAATTATGCAAAAATGTATTCTATGAAAGTGTATTCTATGAAACTGTATGTTGGGTTTTCATTATTTTAAAATTATTTTGTATTGTTTGTCTTCATTTTAAAAGTTTTCTTACCACATTGTGTATCTGTAGCTGCTCATGTGTTTTAGTTGAGGGAATCAAGCATGTATCGGCTGAAATGAGGCAAGGAAACGGGGCAATAGCAGGTCGTTTGATGCTTCTTGCCAGATATCTAGACAGATACCATGAAGTAGACTCGTTCACCCCGAGGTAAACGAGTATGTAATGGCTGAATTATGTCAGGGAAGGGGGCTACTGCAGATTGTTGAGACTTCTATTAAAATATCTAGATCAGTGGTTCTTAACCTTTTTGGAGGTACTGAACCCCATCAGTTTCATTATGTGCATTCACCAAACCCTTCTTAATAGGAAAAATAAAATATGATTTTTTTTCTGATTTTTTTCGGTACCTCCGCCGAACCCCTGAGACTGACTCACCGAACCCCTGGGGTTTGATCGAACCCAGGTTAAGAACCACTAATCTAGATGGATATAATAAAGTAGCAAAATTTACCATGAAATGTATATACCGGGGGAAATGTTTTCATTAAATTGTAACAGTTTTGTCCTATTTTTGTTTCACTCTGTAAAAGCTAAACGAGCACATTGTGTCCCTCTTCCCTCCCTATTTTAGCAGATGAGGTTTTTTTTAAATTAAAAAATAATAACGTATAATTAACGCGTCATGGATCATGGCAACTAAGGTGGCAGCTCTGGAAACGTCATGTCGCGGATATTGTAAACTTACCTAAAAATAATACATATCTTGGCTAAAACAGGAAATTTGCACCATGACGTCATTTATGTGTTTATTTCAAGTTTCTGTGTTGTATTCACTCCCCGCTTTTGTGTTGTTGTTACTAAGAGTTAACTTTTCTTTAATTAGATGATTGGAATGTTTTAAATTAAATTTCATTAGTTGGTTAGTTACAATATTTAAATTTTCTGCAATTGTGAAAAATGAGTATGTATTTATTTTCTGCCAACTTTCGATTTTCTTCTTAATGGAACCTGAAATAAAGTGTGTAAAAGTTAAAAGTGTATTCTATGAACACCATGCTGTGAGTTGGGTTTTCATTACTTTAAAATTGTTTTGTATTTTCCTTCATTTTTACATTTTTCTTGACCACAGTGTGTAACTGTAGCTGCAGACGTGTTTTAGTTAAAAATGAGGCAAGGAAACAGGCAACAGCAGTAGCAGGTCATTGAAGATCCTTGTCAGATATCTGATATCTAGATGGATACAAAAAAGTAGCTTCGTTCACCCTGAAATTTTCGTACCCAATGAATTTATTTAATTAAGTTTTAATTAAAATTTAATTTAATGTTTAGGCTAGTTCCTATTTTTGTTTCTCTCAGTAAATATCAAAACCAGCATATTCTCTCCCTTTACCCTCCCCATTTTAACAGCTGAGACGTGTTTTATATTTTAACGAGGCTGCCACCTTGATTGCTACGACCTTCCATGGCTCATACTCATGGTAGCCAAGAATGGGCAGTCCTCCGAAGTCTGGTCCCAAATTATTTCCAATAATTACTCCTTACTTATATAGTCTTGGGCATCATTCTGATTTGAAATTCATGTTTGCATTAGTGGATGATGTTGGATGGAGGTTGTCGGCTGTCGAGATGCACAAACACTCGAAGGCATTAATCACTAATCATGTGTTGCCAGGGACAACTATCGTCACGGATGATGGGTGAGGATAACAAGATGTCACTCAGCTCAACAACGGGATTTATGCTCACGCTATCATTGTGCACGAGCGTGAATTTGTTGACCCAGTAGACAGTAGACCAGGACATTCACACATAAATTATTGAAGGACTTTGGATGCAAGCGAAGCGTTAACTCTGCTATCAGAGTGGTACTAGCCGCAGTCTGTTTGCCAGGTACTTGGAGCCTTCAGTGGCGCAACAGTCACAAGCAGAACGTTTTCGGCTGCTATTTGCAAATGTTATGTGCCAATGACAACATTTAGTATTTACTGACTGGTTTGTAAAGTGACAGTTATTTGCAAAAGCTATGACTGACATTTCTGCTGTTTTCTAACAATAGACACTGTGCATTGCAATTTTTTTCATACTAAATAATTTGGGACCGGACTTCGGAGGATTGCCCAAGAATGTACCAGTGTGAAACATGGTCGCGGATTGTCCAAATCTTTAAGAAGTTTAAGTAGGCCCACAGTCAATATGGCTAATACTGTTTTAAAAATAATAATAATAATCACTCACCTGAGTGGGTGACTCAATAGTTCAATTAAAAATTTGCAGATTGTAAAGTGCGCTCACTCACTCAGCAATGAGCATTTCACTGAACTGTTCTGTGTTCAAGTTCAGTCTCTACCACTACCACTGACCACCCGGTCCACCGACTTTTAAAAATGCCTTTAAATTAAATTTAATAAATATATGCCCTTTTAATTTGTGCGACATGTTATAAATAACCAATTTTAACGCTATTTATGAATAGATATTTGATATTATTGAAAAGCATTCGTCATTGCTTTTTTAAAATAAAATATATTTCACCGGGTCGGTGTGAGGTTTGAGGATGTTGGTAAACCGGATGTTTACAAAATTTCGCTCAAATTACTATACGTACATAACACAAGAGTTACAAATGTTTTACAAAAGAGTGATTGGATACGATAATCAGCCCACCGGCAAAAAAAGCAAACTCCTAAGCCTAAAGTACAGATTAAATGATTATTAAATGCAACGGGCTGTCAAAGAGTTTAGACTGTATGATAGTGGGCCTGCGCAGTGTAGTAATCCGCATTTTTTCAGAAGATCTCATTCAAAATCATATTCACGAGGAAATTCAGATATTGATGTTGTATAGTATAGTAAATAATAGTAGGCCTATTTAATTTTTATTCACTTTTTTATATCATACTCTCCTCTACCATAATGAATGATACTATGATGACTATGTTATATATTATAATATATACTATATAATATAATATAGTACTACTACTCATACTTACTGTTATTATTGTTATTGTACTGTTTGGACGGTACCTGTATAATTAATTAGTAATAATGTAATAATTACTTTTTAAAGTCCTGTTAAGTTTATTAGTTGTTTATCTCCAGTGACTCCAGCTCAACACTTTTAATTAATTTAAATAATTAATAATTAAATTTAAATTAATTAATTATTATTAGCATCAGTAATTTGGCCTTTTTATATCATTATTTTCTGGAATTTTGAGATTCTTAAAATTATATTTTTTGTAAATTTATAATATAAATAATTAATTTCAATTTAGTATTTATGCCCAGATTTGGATTGGTTAGTAGATAAATGGACTTAATGGATAATAAGGACTACGATTAGGTGATTAGGAAGGAGACTCATCATTATGAGACTGACTGGGTGGGATCAGGTTAAGTAAAAAAGAAGATAAACTTACTAAGACTAGGCCAGGCTAGCACTAGGGACAGGGTAACTGAGGGTAGATTGTTTTGTGTGTGTGTGGGGAGGGGGGACCTAAAACTAAAAGGATTTAAAGAGGAAAGTAGTAACAAAATAACAAATGTCCTGCCAAGAAGCCTTTCAGTAAACAGCACAAATAAAAAGTAATAAAAATATAAAAGAAAACCTTATCTTAAAGTAAGTTAATAAACTTAAATGTAGTATCCTAAATAAAGCCTAAAGACAAAGAAGGGCAAGAGAAAGGTTAGCCAGGTAGTGATTAATACTACTAACTACTAGGGGTGTGCCGGATCCGTTTTTTCCAACCGGATCCGGATCCGGATTTTCTTATGCGAAATCCGCCGGATCCGGATTCCGGTTTCTCCCGGATTCCGGATTTTGGTACTATTGGTAGATACTTCGGTAAGTCAAGGTGGACTACTACTTTTTGTGTATGGGAATTCGCAATCGGCGCCAAAAAATCCGAGTTTTTAATTTTCCGATGTGTGTCTATTTATTATTAAATTAGTACTTTCGATATATATTTGAGTTCCGTTCCATTTGGATAAGTGTCTTACGAGAGACGCCATGTTTCTACGCGTTCGCAGCAGGTTATGCAGCTCGCTCAACCTAATTTCGCCATGGGGTTG